GCTCACGCCCACCTTGTACCCCGAGGCCTTGACGTGCAGACCCCGCTTGGTGAGGGTGGATTTCATGCGGACGAAGAAGGAGCGCTCCTGGGCCCGGGAGGAGGGGGGCACCTCGGTGGGGCTGGCCTCTGGGCGGAGTGAAGGAGAGTCGTGGGGTCCTGAGGAGGAAACACACGGAGGCGCCCCCTCCCCGCCCCCTTCAGAGCGAGCCAGAGGCCCACCCACCTGACGGTTCTACGAGCTCATTGGCGTCTACACTGACCCCCCTCCATGCAGCGGCCTTTCTCAGGCTCAGCTCTGACCCCGGGACCTAACACGTGGGCAGGAACTGCGTCCTACTGACACCCTCTGAGGTCACCATCTCCTCCAGGAAGCCCCCCTGGTCCCGGCTGGGTCGGAGCCCCTCTGGGGTGTTCACCACACCTGACCCAGCTGGGCGCAGGCCGGTCTCCTTCACTGGACGGCGAGCCCTGGGAGGGTGGGGTTGGGGCTGTCCTCACTACTGCGTCCCCAGCCCTGCCCAGCACAGAGCTGGGCGCAGAGCAGGGCCTCAGGGTGTAGCAACAGAGAAGACTCGCCAATAGCGATGAGTCTACAAGCCCCTGGTACAGTCATAAACGTGCTCACACCCAGATGACCCTGGGCCTCAAATTCAGGTGCAGACATCATCACAGCCCCACACATCTCCCCAAACTTGCAATCACTGCTGACAACTCAGATGGTTTTGGTGCAAAGCGAACCCCATGTAAGAAAATCTTATTTACAGGAAAGTTGACCTCACAGCCCCCTCCGCACCTGGGCGCTAAAAGGAACTGTCAGGGTAATCTAACACCCGCCCTCCTCCGCATGGAGTGGAATTTTCCATGGAATTTTCCATTGGAAAGAAGGGTGAGGAGCACACTAGATCCTGGAGCCAGACCAACCGGGGTTGGAATCTAGCTCCACTTACAGCTGTGACCTCGGACAGGTAACTTAACCTCGCTGTGCTGGGCCTCAGTTTCCCCCTCTGTAAAACGAAGAGAATAACGGGTCCTGCCCTGTGGGATTGTGGTTAGGATTCCATGAAATTGTGTAGTTACAGGCTCAGCACATGTCAACGCCCCGTAAGCGTGCACCGCTATTTACCCGTCACCCACAGGCTGCCAGAGGGATCTTTCTAAAGCTCAAAACTTGGGGATTCAGGCACTCTTAGGGGGCCAAGTCTTCCTGCTTCAATTTAGACTCTAAAAAACTTGTTTTGCACAACTCTGAGGAGAGTGGGTTTGGTTTACATGTAACATCGCCGGATACAATGTCCCGGTTGTCCCTGCATCAGGCCTCATTCTTTGGGGGCCTTTGGAATTACCGATCTCAGGAGTATCGGCAAGCGAGGAGGAAGAGGAGGAAGAGGAGGGGATGGAGGGCGGGGTGGGGGGCCCGGAGGTCCGGGCCCGCAGTCCCAGCTGCTCCAGGACCTCGGAGTGGTCCCCGGGGTGGATGTAATCGAAGACGCTGCTGCCCGTCAGCTCCACCTGCCGGCGAAGGGGAGGAATACAGGCGGGTAAGGTGCGCGCAGCCACCGGCCCTCCCGTTTGGCCGACTGTTCATAAGCTTAGCAGCGGTTCTCAATCTGGGGGTCGAACGACCCCTTTCCCAGGGGTCGCCTAAGTCTTAGGCCCTAAGACCATCGGAAAACACACATATAATTACATATTGTTTTTGTGATTAATCACCATGCTTTCGTTATGTTCAATGTGTCACAATGAAATCGGGGGTCACCACAACATGAGGAACTGTGTTAAAGGGTCGCGGCATTAGGAAGGTTGAGAACCACTGGCTTACAGGCAGGAGTACTCCGTGCCAGTCTTGTGTTTTTATTAGAATTTTTTTTAAGTTTTTTTTTTTTTAACTCTCTCACCTGAGGATATTTTTTCCCATTGGTTTTTTTAGAGAGAGTGGGAGGGAAAGGAGAGAGACGAGGGAGAGAGAGAGAGAGAGAGAGAGACATCAATGTGTGTGAGAGAGTTACATTGCTTGGTTGCTTCCCACAGGCTGCCTTGAATCGAGCAACCCGGCCGGGTATGTGCCCTTGACCAGGAATCGGAATTGGACCTCGACCTTCAGTGCGCAGGCCCAGCTCTATCCCTGCGGGGCCAGGGCAAAAGGAACATTTATCTGTAAAGGAGGAGGCTAACCTGGCTCTTCCTCTGCCCTCCGACATCAGAGCCAGTGATCGTTACCGATTTTCTGCCCCGCCTACTCTGCTAAGAAGCTGTGTGAGGCCGTCGCTGGTTTGGCTCAGTGTATAGAGCGTCAACCTGTGGACTGAAGGGTCCCAGGTTCGATTCCGGTCAAGGGCACATGCCTGGGTTGCGGGCTCGATCCTCAGTGGGGAGCGTGCAGGAAGCAGCCGATCAATGATTCTCTCTCATCACTAATGTTTCTCTCTCTCCCTCTCCCTTCCTCTCTGAAATCAATACAAATATATATTTTTAAAACAAGAAGCTGTGTAGGGAGTTGGATGGGGAGGTGTCATAGTTTCTAACTCACAGCAAACAGCTGTGCCCTGAAACGAGTCACAGGATTTCCCAGCAGTAATGGGATCCAAGATACAAACGGTGGAATTAGGACATTCAGTCAGACAGACTTTTGCATTCAATCCCCCGCCCCCCAAAATCTTGCAGCAGTTCCACATCTCCCCCAATCCAGGCCCCGTATTCTCCCCACTGTGGTCCTGCCCCAGCACCCTCACTGATCATCTGGCCTTCAGTCCCCACTCAAATGGGGAGCCTAGAGGTTACTCATCTGGCCATGGCCCTCCTCCCCTCAGACACTTCCCAGAGCTGGAGGAGGTGGGTAAGGGGAGCGGGGGGAGAGACATCCGTAATAATGTCAACAATTCAAAAGAGAAAAAAAACAACAAACCTCCCATGGCTCCCACCGCCCCAGGGCTTGGTGTCATCCCCTGAACCCCTCCCCTCATCCAGCCCTTCCCACACCAGCTTCAAGCCTCCCCTCCCTCCCGCCCTCCCTCCCTTTCTCTTGCCCACATTCCTCTTCCTTCAGGTTCCTCCTCCTCCAGAAATCAACAACTCACAAAAAGCTGCTCACAGCGGCCAAAGCACTGAATTGTCGAGATTTACCATCCGCCAAAGTCTTTCTAAAAACGGTAACAGTTGCTAGCAATTGGCATTGACTGGATCAATACCGTATATTGATCCAATAGCAAGGCCTGCGATGCCACAAGGAGCCAGGACTCCGGACACAGGGGCTTTCAAACGCCACAGAAAACCTTCCAGCGCTCGCAGATCCCAAGCCCCGCTGTACAAATTGTTGTGATCTTTTAAAACTGTTAAGAAGAAACGCGTTTGGGTAAATATGGTGCATTTGGCCACCACTCATGGGCAAACTGGTCTTTCTGCTAATCTGCTTCTTTCAAATTGACCTGTTACTTTTTTGTTTTGTTTTTAAATATTTTATTGACTTCAGAGAGGAAGGGAGAGAGATAGAAACACCAATGATGAGAATCATTGATCAGCTGCCTCCTGCACGCCCCCTACTGGGGATCGAGCCTGAAACCCCGGCATGTGCCCTTGACCGGAATCCAACCCCGGACTCTTCAGTCTGCAGACCAATGCTCTATCCACTGAGCAAAACCAGCTAGAGCTTGTTTTGTTTTTAAATTATTTTTTCTTTGACCCGTGAATTCGATAACCCTCCTCTGACCGCAAGGAGGAGCCATGTTGGATGCCGTGTGGGGTTCCAAGGAACGCACTTTGGGAACCACGGATCCAGTCCCCTTTTCACGCCGGGATGGTGAGGCCAGGAGAGAGGAGGGGCATGCCTGGGCCGCCCAGGGAGGTGGCGGTGGCGCCAGTCCAGGCAGCCTGGTGAGGTCCTTACCTGTGAGAGACCCAGGTAAATGGAGACGGTCTCTGAGATGTAGAGGAACTTCCCCTCCTGGCTCAAGGCAAACACAAAGCCATCCAGGGACTAGAATGGGAGAGACAGGGCGGGGAGAGGAGGGCCCGTCGTCTGTCAGAGGTTCTGAAACCTTATCTCTGCCAGGATGGATTATTTTTGGGGAGCGGAGGACGGGGTCTCACTGGCCCTGGGAAGGGGCAGGCAGGAAGGGGGCCCCCAGCATGCGCCTCCCAGGCCTGGCGCTCTCCTGCGATGGATGCGGGAGAGAGGGTGCTGTTCTCCGAGGAGGCCACCAGGTGGCAGCATTGAGCAGCAGGTAGGGAAGGGGCCTCACCTGCAAGATGTGTCCTCCCAGGTGCTGCTCGAAGATTTCGGAGACCAGCGCCACGGAGCCCCTGCGGCCTGGGGCTGGGGACAGAGGGACCGGTGAGGCCGGGGCCTGCGGTCTGGCCGATCCTGGCCTTCTGGGAAGGACCCCAGGGAACCAGGCTACGAGTTTCCCCTCTTCCTCCCAGTCCTGAGCCATCATGGGGTATTGAGGGGCCCCTGGCCCTGGGGGGGAGAGACCTGGGATATGGGGAGGAGTGTGAGGGGCAGAGGTAGGCTGGACAAACAGAGAGACAGACAGACACCAGGGGATACAAAAGGGATTCATTCATTCATCCATCCATCCATCCATCCACCCATCCATTCATTCAGCAAACTCTCCCTGAGCTCCTGTGGCCAGGCTCTGTGCTGGGAACACCGCAGTGACCCAGACAGCCTGGTCCTACCCTCACAGGCACCCAGGCCATGGCACATAAACAAATAAAAAAATGAACAAGGAATTATCATTTGTGCTCTGAAGAATCAAATAGATGATGTGGCCCTAGCCGGTTTGGCTCAGTGGATAGAGCATCAGCCTGTGGACTGAAGGGTCCCGGGTTTGATTGATTCTGGTCAAGGGCATGTTCCTTGGTTGCAGGCTCCCTCTGGGCCCGCACCCTGGTCGGGGCTCTTGCAAGAGGCAACCAATCGATGTGTTTCTCTCACATCGATATTCCTCTGTCTTTCCCTCTCTCTTCTACTCTCTCTAAAATAAATGGAAAAATATCCTCGGGTGAGGATTAAAGAATAAATAAAGAAATAGATTATGTGAAATTAGGAGGAAGGTGGTGAGGCCTGTTGAAGGGGGAGGGGGTAGCTGAGCTCAGACCTGCAGGATGAGAAGGAGGCAGAGAGGAGACTGAAAAGGAGAAAGAGACACACACAGAGAGATACAGAGCACACGCAGAGATTGAGAGACAAAGGCACAGAGAGACAAGAAGATGGACAGAGAACCGTACAGAGAGAGCTAAAGGAACAGAGAAGGAGATAAGGACATTAGAGCTCAACAACAACCCAACTGAAAAATGAGCAAAGGCCCTGAATAGACATTGCTCCAAACAAGATCTACAAATGGCTAATAAGCCCAGGAAAAGATGCTTAAACTCACTAGTCATTAGCAAAATGCAAATCACAACCACAATGAGAGACCACTTCACACCCACTAGGATGGCTACACACACACACACACACACAGAAAATAGGTGCCAGGGGAGGCTGTGGAGAAATTGCACACCCACACCCTCGCCCGTGCATGCTAATGGCACAGCTGCTCTGGAAAACAGTGCGGTGGGTCCTCAGTAAGTTAAACATGGAATTACCATCTGACCCAGCCATTCCACTTGTGGGCATACGCCCCAAAGCGTCAAACACGTGCTCTAGCCGGTACTGGCACATATATGTTCACCGCAGCACTATTCCTCGCAGCCCAAGGGGGAAACAAATGTCCATTAGCTGGTGAGTAACCCAACGTGCTATATGCAGACCGCGGACTATTATTCAGCAATAAAAAGGAATGAAGCAGTGATCCTAGCTACGACTTCGGTGAACTTTGAACACATTGTGCGAAGTGAGACAAGCCAAGCCTGAGAGGACATATATTTGCTCGGCTCTCGCGGCCCCACCCACTGGGCATTCCGGAAGGTTCCACCATCCGGCTTAATTAGCATATTAGCTCTTTATTATATAGGATGACTGCATTTATATGAAATGTCCAGAACAGACAAATCCCCTGAGACTGAAAGCAGATTGGTGGCTGCCAGGGCTGGAGTTGGGGGAGGGGGAGGGGCGTGACTGCTAAGGGGCGCAGGGTTTTAGGGCGATGATGAAAATGTTTTGGAACTAGACAGAAGTGATGGTTGCCCAACATTGTGAATGTACTGAATGTCACACTAAATTGTACATTTTAAAATGATGTTTCATGTTATAACATTTTACCTCAATAAAAAAAAAATTTTTTTAAGAGCTAGGGCCTGGCCATTGTGGAATTATGGTTGAACCAAGAACCAAGAACCAAGAACCAAGAGGTCCCTGGTTTGATGCCCGGTTGTGGGCTCAATCCCTGGTATGGGGCGTGCAGGAGGCAGCCGATCTGTGCCTCTCTCTCATCGATGTTTCTCTCTCTCGCTCCCTCTCCCTTCCTCTATCTCTAAAAGTCAATTAAAACATTATTAAAAAGTAAAAAAGAAAAGAAAAAAGATAGGGACAGACATAGAAACTGAGGAAGACGGAGAAACATAAAGATGGAGAGGCCCAGGAAATGAGGTGCACAGAGAGGGACAGGGGAAGGGCAGAGAGAGCCATGGCCAATGAGGCAGAGAGAGGCGGCCCGGCCCAGCCCCGCAGGCAGGAGCTGAGGGCCCAGACCCCGTGTGGGGGTGACCCTCTCCCTGACCCTGTGGAGAACGACCCCCCCAAGGGCCCCAGGCCCAGACTGGGGAGCCAGGTGAAGGGTTCGGTGACCTCAAGGGTCCTCAGGCGCCTGGCTCTTGCAGGGCTGGGTCCAGGTCCGGTGTCCAGTCGCAGGCTGACCCTCTCTGGCTGTGTGCCTGCCCTGGGGCCAGTCCCTTCACCTCTCCGTGCCTCAGTTTCCTCCTCTGCCAAGTGGGTGCGCCAATCGCGCAGCCCTCCCAGGCTGGCTGAGCATTCATTCAGGCAGCTCAAGGAGCTTCTAGAAAGGGCCTCGCACGGCCCGACCCACCGCAGGTGCCGGGAAATGCGGAGCCACAATGCGTATTAATAGTGTGATTACTATTGTTTCCCGACCATCAAAACACCCGGCGGCGAAAGCCCGCCCCTCTGTGCAAACTACGACGTGGGTTTGGATCCAGCGTACAGGCCAGTGGTTCTCAACAACACTGACATTAAGTCGCACGGCGTCAGCCTCATTTTATTGGTTTGGGATGGACCTGGTATCACTATTATTTAAAATCACCATCTGCGGGGGCGGGCGTGTGGGGAGGGCTCAGCCACTGGCTGTTCCCCCCCAAAACACCGGGCCTGTCCCCAAACCCTCCAGTTCCCCAACTCCTGGCCCCGTGTTTCCTCCTCTCCTACCCAAACACCTCAATTTCTCTGTCCCCCAGACTTGCCCCCCTCATTACTCCTAGATGTGCCCTCTCCTCACATCCAAACCTCAACCAATCACTCACTCATTCAACAAACATTTGCTGTTTTTTGTTGGAGCCTGATTCTTTTTTTAAAAATATATTTCTTTATTGATTTCAGAGAGGAAGGGAGGAGAGAGAGATAGAAACATCAACGATGAGAGAGAATCATTGATTGGCTGCCTCCTGCACACCCCTGACTGGGGAACGAGCCAGCAACCCAGGCATGTGCCCTTGGCCGGAATCGAACCCGGGACCCTTGAGTCCACAGGCCAACGCTCTATCCACTGAGCCAAACCAGTCAGGACTGTTGGAACCTGATTCTGCCGGAGAAGGAAAAACGGTCCCAGTTGCCACCACCCCTTACAGATTGGGGACGGAAGGCCTCTCCCAGGCCTTAGGAGTCCCCCTCCACTTCCCATTCCAGTTGTCCGGAGGGATTGCTGTGGGGGGTGGCGTGGAGGAAGGGCAGAAGGGCTGGAACTTCATTACCTATGAAGGCCGAGAGAAGGAACCACCCCACCACAGTCAGGGGGTGTGGGCCTGAGGGCTGGAGGGGGGCATTTCTGCCTCTACTTGTCCTCAGCCTCACCTGTAAAATGGGGCCAGTGAGCGAGCAGATGGGTTTGTGCATGTATGTAGCACCGCGACAGGCACACAGTAGGTGCCTAATCCCTGAGTCCTGCCTCTGTTCTTAGCAGTGTTACTATGGATAACCTGGGGTACCTCTACCCTTCGCGTGGTTCCTTGCCCTGCACCTTGACCCCTCTCTGTCTCTCACACCTGTGTCCATTTTCTGTTAAGTCCTATGGGCTGTACCCTCACGGCATCAGCTGGATCCAACCACCTGTCATCCCGTAGCCCCCACCCTGGCCCAGCTGCCCCGCCTCCCACCCAGACCACTGCACTCACCTCCTTAAGGGGCTCCCTGCTCCCACTCACACCCCCCATCACCATGGCTCCCATCACGCTCGAGGCAACAAAGTCCTCACCACAGCCCGTGGGGCCCCGCAGGCCCAGGCCCAGGCCCCTGCTGACCACTGCCTGCCTCACTTCCTCCTCTCCAGACTCCCTCCAACCAGCACTCCGTGCCTTTGCACTGCGGCTCCCTCTGCCTGGAAGCCCGCCCAGCTTTCTCATAGCTTCCTCCCTCACCTCCTTTTCCTCTCAGCCCAAAGGTCACGTCCTCAGAGAGGTCATGCCTGGCTTGTGAATTAAGATTCACTCTTTCTCCCCTCATTCCATTCCAGTCACCCAGCTGTGGGATGAGTCTGCTGTGTCCCAGACGCAGGGAACAAGGTGCCGAGAGGGAGAGACATACAATAAACAAAAGAAATGCATAGTGTCAGATGATAGCGCTATGAAAAGATAAGGCAGGAAAGGAAGACAGGGAATGCTGGGCCGCGGCCATTTTCAGTAGAATGGTCAAGGAGCCCTAGCTGGTTTGGCTCAGTGGATAGAGCATCGGCCTGCGGACTGAAGGGTCCCAGGTTCAATTCCCTTCAAGGGAACATGCCAGGGTTGTGGGCTTGATCCTCGGTAGGGGGCATGCAGGAGGCAGCCGATCCATGATTGATATTTCTATCTCTCTCTCTCCCTTCCTCTCGGAAATCAATAAACATATATTTAAAAAAACAAAAAAGAACGGTCAGGGAAGACCTGTCTGCGGAGCGGACATTCAGAGGGAAGGGAGTCCGTGGTGGCCGGCACAGGAAGTGCAAAGGCCCTGAGGTGAGTACGAGCTTCTCTGAAGAACAGCCCGTGTGTGTGTTGGGGCTGAGAGTGGGGGTTGAAAAGGTGAGAGGGGGAGGTGCGGTCAAGGGGTGGGGGACTGGGGACCCACCTCGCAGGAACTATAGGCCGACCCTGGAGGGCAGGGACTTTGTGCTGTTCCCTGCTGTGTCTCCGGCACCTAGAACAGTGCCTGGCACAAGGGAGGTGTTCAATGGTGTTTGTTGAACAAACGAGCAATGCTGGCTTGAAATCAAGGCTGTCTTCTCCCCAGACTCCGAGGCACAGAACTAGACTTTAACTTCCTCTCGTCTCATTTTACAGATGGTAGACCAGTGATGGCGAACCTCTGACACGCGAAATCATTTTTTGGTTGATTTTTCTTTGTTA